CGGGTCCACGGCTTCTGGCCGTGCGGAGCTCGTCGTTTCGCGACGTGAACTCGGTGAGGCCTCACTCTGCGTCGAGGCTGCGATCGGCGATAGCAATGGTTGGTTGTTATACCAACCTTGCTGAGGAGGAGTTGTATCTTGACTCTGAGAACGTGCGACTGGACCGTCGCCATCAGTAGCCCGAGGACGAATCCGCAACGGAGCAACGCTTGACGATGGATGAGACGAGGACGCAGAGCTGGTATTTTGAAGGCTGCGCTGCGAAGAGGCCGCAGTCGAGTTTGTGGTGACAGCTCTAGGTCTTGCATGGGTGCGAGACTGCGCGGACTGGGCTCTCTCGGGAGTTGCTGACTGAGATCCACGCGAAAAGCTCTCCGTCGACTTCTTGCCGCTCGCGGTCGGCAGCGCTGAGGATGGCGCGCGCAGGCTAGTCATCGAGGTGTTGGTGCTCCGATTGAACGTGGCGGAGGCTGCACCCGAGCTGCCGCCTTCGCCTGACGAGACTGATGCGCCACGCCGCAATTGAGCGCTATCCAAAGTCCGCTCGCCTGCCGCTTCTCCAAAGTCCGTCTTGGTCTGCGTTGCTGGAGCTGATGCAGGAAAGGCGACGGCGTGCGGATCTCTTCGAGTGACTGCTCTGATCGGTGGTTCGGCCTGACTGTAATCTGCTCTCATCAGACTGGGCAATCCAGGCAGCGCAACGCTGCGATTCGGTGGTGAGGCTGGAAGCTTTGGTGTGTTTCCACCGTGGGTGTAAGCCACAGGTAGGCCGACGGCCATTTGCATCGCAACGCGCTCTCCATTGAAGTCTTCGCGGGCCGGGGACAAGAGCGCATTTCCTGACCTGTTCGGTGCGTCTCCGGTATTGCTTCCTCGAGGCGTGGTCAAGTATGAAGGACGAGCACTGGCATCTTTGCCAACGGACCCCACGCTTGAGCCACCCTTGAGCGTTGTTGGCAAATTGTCGCGAGCGATCGCATGTTCGATGCCCAGACCGCGCGTAGTCCCTGGGTACTCCGACCTGGCTTGCCATACCTGAGGTCCTCTGTCCGGCCTTTGACCGTAACGGTGCGTACCCGGACCATGACCGCTCGAAGGGAATCCATGCCAAG